TGAGGGATATCCGGTGTACTTTCCTCTCGGAGAAGGCCGAGAAGGCAAGCCTGCAAATGCCACCCCTTTTCAGAAGGCACTGTTAAAAACATTTGCCCATCCTGGAATGACAACATAGCATGCAGTTTACAGAGGAGGTCTCTTCCTAAAAGGGGAACAGGGCAGTCTGGCATGTACAAAAATTGATGGGTGACTTCAGTCTGCCCAAGATTACAGGTCATTGGCTGTAAAAAAGGGTCGTGTTACTGCCTTCCCTGTAATCCCTACCACCGGCGCAGCCTTTTTACTTAAAGGTTTCAGTTTTTGAGTTAAGACAGAATGGGCAGCACCTGTATCAACGAGAAAATTTACCAATTCATCTTTGTCCCCTAGTTGCATTTTAACCAGAGGCTCATCAGGGGACACTGGGATCTGGGTTATCTTTCCCTCCCGGGCCTCCGGTGTCCTTCAATCTGAATCCCTTCCAAAAGCAAACAGTCCACTGCTCTCCTCTTTTTTCTTTTCACCTTCCCCAACTTTCCGACGGGGGCATTCCCGCCTCCAATGTCCTTTTTGTTTGCAATAGGCACACTGATCTTTCTCTAATGGATCCCGTCTCTGAGGCTGTCTCCGGGATCCCTCATTTCTAGGTTTTCTTGTGATTGCAGCTGCCAGTAGGGCTGCCTGCATTTTTATCTTTCTCTCCTCTTTTTTTGTCCTGTTGCTTTTCCTGAACACTTTCTCGGTTAGTAAATACTTGGTAAGCAATATCTACTAGTTGGGAAATAGGCATACCTGTTGCTCCGTCTGTCTTCTGCAATTTCTTTCTAATGTCCGGTGCACTCTGACCTATAAAAATCATATTTACCATGCGAGCGTTTGATGTATCCTCCGGGTTCTCACGAGTGTATTGTCTGAAAGTAGTGTAAATTCTTTCCAAGAAAGCACTCGGGGTCTCATTTGTCTCCTGTCGGACCTCATACACCTTACTGAGATTCTGGGGTTTTTTCACAGCATCTCTCAATCCTTGGAGGATATATTCTCGATAGGCACGGATAGAGGTCATATCTTGGTCTGGTTTCCAATCTGGCTCCTGGGTGGGGACATGATTGTCCCTATTTCCTTGCAAGTTCCCTGCAGTAATCTCCTTTTCCACGTACTCACGGGCTTTGCCCACTACCATTCTCCTCTCCTCTGGTGTCAACAGGATATCTAAAAGAGACTGAACATCTGCCCAGGTTGGGTTATGGGTTTTGGAAATCATTTTAAACAGGTTATGTACCTTTTCAGTACCTTCTCTCAAGCTGGGGGTATTGTTCCGCCAATTATACAAATCTGATGTAGTGAAAGGAATGTGCACAAAGGTTCGACGGTAGGTTGGCTCCCCATCATCTTCTAGAGGCCCAGGTACCACTTGTTCTCTTAGGGGAAATACCCCATTTCCCTTCCCACGGCCAGGATCAGATTCCCTGTGATGTTTTCCCTTAACCCCGGAGTCTGCTCTTAACTGTACTCTCCACCCACCTCCCGGGGTTATATCAGGAGAAGTCGGGGAATCTGGAGATTGCCAAACACCTGACAGCCAGGGCTGGTGCTGTTCCAGATTCCTAGGTCGGGGAGTATTTTCAATCTCCGCCTCGGGGGTGGGGGGGAAGAAGCAGGAAGAGCAGATGCCAGCAAGGAATCAGCTGTATCAGGAGGAGGAGGAGGAAGAGGAAGAGAATATGGTAAAGGCAGCAGAGGGGGAAGAGCCTCCGGCTCCGGACAGTCCAGGACAGGATTTATAGTTGGTCCTGTCAAAGTCATCTCACAGACCCCAACTCCCTCCCCCAGTCCACATTCCTCCAAAACCTTTCTATTTCTACAAAGAGACATAAACGCTTGCGCATACATCAATTCCTCCCATTTACCATTCTGCCGGCAGAACAAAATCAATTGTAAGATAGTATTATAATTAACACTTCCCTCCGGAGGCCAATGTTCTTGATCATCTAGCTGATAGCGTGGCCATGCAGTTTCACAGAAGAATTTAGCTTTCTTCTTAGTCATAGGATCTCCACCAAACTCTGCCCAATGTCCCAATGCACAAGAGAGGGGGGTACATTTCCTAACCTTACTGTTAATAGTACCCATCTCAGGGCTGCCTTCCCGGTCCTGACCGTCCGACTTACCTGGGATCCAGGGATCTGTTCTTAGTCCTCGTCCTCACAGGGGAAAAATCACTGGTCTTGGACTCGGGCCAGACAGAATACTTACAGAGATAATCCCAGGCAGGCGTGCTGACGGTAGGCCTTATGCCCTTTCTACCCTCTCACCCAGGTGCCTGTTACTGATACTTTAACTCTATGGCTTTGCACCGTTAAGCTACTGCCGCCTCAGCAATCCAGCTCCCCCTGAAACAAAAGTCTCACCGGGAAAAGAGATCCCGGGGTGCGCCTGACATTTGATAAGGAAGAGCTGTGTCTGGTCGTCAGCTAGTCCGGGCAAAGTTATCTAAGGCAGTCCCATCTGGGTCGCCAAAAACTGTTGAGCCCCAGCTCAAGTCTGGGATCGTGCCCGGTATGCAAAAGCCAATAAAGATACCAGGGGTGAAAGTATAAAGATGTATTGCTAGCAATACAAGGTGCAAGCGGAATAATTTCACGTAACAAGCACACAGATTCTTAATTATGAGCATCTTTTATACAGGAGTATTGGACCTTCATAAGCATTCTTGTTTGTTAATTGGTTATAAGGGAGTGACGCAAGGAGTTCTTTACTGAGCATGTCTCTATACCTGTGTTTTAGCTATGTATCTCATTTCCATACATGTATGTTTCATTAGCATACTTTCTCCCCACCTAGGGGTGTGAATCTTAATATTTAAATCAGCTCTTTGCCCTACTCCACTAATTTTATTTTTGTTTTCAAGTCTCCTTTATCTAAGACTGTCTTCTCCTTATCATTGCCCTTATCATTGCAGATGGGCATTAGTTACATAACAGAGACTTTTGCTTGGGCTTTGTGTAGTGGTTTCTAGGTCAAACCTGACACTGTGGGGTTATTCCATGGATGACACTGGTCTGAGTTGCACCAGCTTGGCCCATGAATTGGTCCTATTTTCTTGGTTCTTGCTTTAGACAAACACAACACTGTTGTATCTGAATCCATGAACGTATCTCTTGGGTACAGACCCTGCATCAGTCAGATCAGTCTATCACAGTGGCTTTCCCAGTAATAAACCAGATTATTAGAGCCAAAACAAAAGCACAGGGAGAAGATACTTCTGTGAAGCAAGCAAGCAAGCAAGCAAGCAAGCAAGCAAGCAGAGTGAAGACTAAGCCAGCCACCTGTAATGAACAGTTCTCAAGCCAGCTTGGCTAAGGTGAGCCATGTTTTACCTCAATTATGGTTAATTTGGGTGGAGAAAACAAGCCATCTCTCTGAAGACACCATATCAAACAGAAAATTTTAGTTATACTAAGCGATGCATCCATCCACGTGAGCGTCCGAGGGGCCACACACTGCACACAATTATAGGTATGACACATTTTGCAAAGTCAGGATTTAATAGAGTCATTCGACTAGATGATCCTCAGCGGTTTGGAAGAACCCACCTCAAGTCATTGAACAACAACCTTTTCAAGAGACTTTAAAAACCACCACAGCATTAACAGACACTTTGTCTTTACAGAACACAATTTATTTGGCATTTGGATGAAATGTTTCTCACAGCATCTTGAGGGAAAAAAAGAAAAGAAAAAAAAAAAAAAGGTTAGTGCCAACCCCTCAAAAAGAAAAAAAGAAATGAAATCATAAAAACATAAAATGTCACAGGGACTGAATTATTACAGTATCAAATTTCATTTCTACATTGATATTCCATGAAATACCAAAACTTCTATACGCTGTCACAGTTAAATTCAGTCACAAATCAACTACACAGGAGGGGTCTGCAAATGCAGCCTTGGCTAAAAGTATTCTTCCAGAGAAGGTAAAAAGCAGTGCCTCTTTTTCTCTCTCAGGCATACAAATGTCTGACATTCGGATCAGTCCAGCATAGTGATGAAAGGCTGCCAGCAAAACAACTCTTCTGACTTCACCTCCAGCCTACTCTGCTTTCCAAGGTGCACAATGCCAGAAAATTAAAAATCCATTAAAATTGTACCTCAGCAGCCAGCTAATTCAAAATATTAGTAAGGGAAGTGATCTTTGTTTTAATTCATTTTTCTCAATTAAAATATGGCTGTCTCAACTGGAATGGGAGCAGTGCTGGAAGTAAAGTGTAGGGGCTGATCCCAATCCACTTTCACTGTCTCTGTAAAATGTAAAGGATTTAGAGGACTAGCCATCAACCATACAGGGTGGAGGCTGAAAGGCAAAATTCCCCAGAAGTACTGGGTAAGTTTCCCAACATTCACTTAACAAATGGGTTTAAAAAAAAAGTTCCAGTTGGGGGGGAACAAAATAAATAATGAAAAAAAGTTGTGTTTTGTGTGTAGCTAACATCAAAACTCAAGCACTTTGCCACTGGAAATAGACAACTAAAAGATAAGAAATTTACAGCTTTCTAATCTCCAGAAATTTAGTTAAAGAAGTTTAACACACCTTAACTTCCAGTAAGGAAGAAGAGAGGTCATGGAACTCATTTCTTCCAAGTAAAGACTGGGAAACCTGGAGCGCCTAATGCTGCATTCCTTGCGCTGGCAAAACTCCTCCTAGCATCAATGGGGATGCTGCCTGAGCAAATACCGCACAATTGGTTTTGCTCTTCTATTCTGGTACTCTGTGTCCTCTCACAGAAGGACAAAAAGGGAGAGTCGAGTTCAAGGGTAGATGAGCTAAACAAGCAACAATTCCAGCCACATCTGAATTTTGATCATTTGGGCTAGAATCAGAACTCTCTGGAAAAAAAAATTAAACTACTCTTTTGGGCTAGGAACAGAAATCACAAACTGGTGTAAGTGATCAAAAACCAGTTCAAATATGTAACAACAAATATTCAGTGCGTAGAAACTGCTTTCAAAATGGCCGAAACTGGTTGAAGATAAACCTGGCTGGATGTAGCATCAGACTCAACTGATTTAGGTTAAATCAGTTTCTTGTACCTCTGTCCCAGATCCCCTCCAGAGTCAATTTAACTCAAGCCCCCAGCATCCCAGGATACCTTGCACTTCCCCAGCCACCCGTGTCCCCCACAGGATAGACAGGCTAGCCTTGACCCAAACTTGTCTTCTCCAGTTGAGTAGGAAGGCATGCTCTAGCACCACCTGGCTTCTGGCCGGGGCCACTGCAGGCATGTGGCTGCATTTCCAGAATCAAAAATGAATGTCTGTTGACTTGCTTATCGGTTCAATCTATGCATCTTAGACAAACCTAATAAGATTTAATATATTCAGGCTCCGGCTTTTTGACCGTCTGTCCTTAGCCTTGGAGAAAAGAGCAAGAGGGAATTTGATAACAGGTCTTCAAACAGAAAAAAGGTTGTTGTTATACAGAGGATGATGATCAACTAATCTGGGTGCAAAGGGGACAGGCCAAGTAGTAATGGTTTCAAGTCACAAGAGAAACTTAGGTTGAATATTAGGAAGAAGTTTCTAATTTTGAGGGTAGATAAGTACTGGAACAGATTACCTAAAAGGGACTGTGGTATCTCTGTCATTGGAGATTAAGTGCACATTAGACAAATTTGTTCCAATGACAGAAAAAAAATAATCCTGCACTGAAGGGAGAGGACTGGACTAGACAAAACTAGATGACCACCATGAGGTCCCTTTCAGACCTCTTTTCCTATTATTCTACTAAGAAATTCAAAGCTGCTGTGAGATTGCATGTGCACTTATTGTGGCTAACATTGAGACCAGTGGATATCTTGGAGGAACAGCAAAAAATATGGCACCTCATTGTACTGTAAGAGAGGGAAAAAAAATCAGGAGAAAGACCACAACAGAACGCGTTAGCCCTAAATGGAACAGAGACCTCAAATGTTACAAAATTAACCTCAATAGCCAAAATTGAAGGAAAAAAATAAAGCTCATTTCACTTATTTGCAATGCTAGGAATGATGAAGTCCCAGGAATCTTTTCAACCCTCTCCATCATGCTTAGAGAGGATTCAAGATGCACCAACAGTTAATAAGAACAATAACCAAAAGGGTGATGGGAAAAAATGTCCACAATAGAAGTTAATTCCAAAGAAATAAAATCAATCCATCCAGCAGGAGGAGGAAGGGTTTCCTCCAGCAAGCGCCAATATCTACGGAATAAGCATCCACAACAGAAGGTTGGTACTCGCCATTTTTCTGTTAGCAAGGAAGTGCCAATGAGAAGTCAACTGCTTCTGCAAAACTAGTTCTTCCTTAGTTGGTCCTCAAGTCTCGGTAATTATAACATTTTCAGCCACAGCCACAAAGGCTCCAAGATGAAGAACTGTATGTGAAAGAGCTACAGTGACGAGGGAAAAAGTGACAATTTTATTGCCAAATTAGAAGCTCAACAACAGGTAAACAAGATCTGGACCAGGTGAGCTCTTCTGCTCAAGGCAGAATTTCCCCTTGTTTATGGTTAAAATGGATAAAAATAAAGAAGCCTCCATGCCACCACTAAGGTGGAAAGGGCTTTGATCTATAGAAAATTATTACACTCAGGCTTCTACAGGGAAGTCTGCATTTGGACTAATTACAACCATGAGCCGTCACAAAGTTAAGAATTGCAACAACACTTATTTTCACATCGGTTTACCACAGACATCCAGCAGTAAAAACCGTGTATTAAAAACAGGTTCACACAGTCTTATGAGATGTGCGAGGTAAAAAGCATCTGTTCACCTCAACCACGAAAACACAGACAAGCCAAGAGGCCTTTCGTTATTGCGCTAGGAAACTACAAAGAAAGAATAGTCCATCTGGCTTTAAAGAAATAAAAACTCCCATTCTCCTAGTTAGTGCTACTAACAAAAGCTTTTCAGAAAGTGTGTTGTAATAAAGACTGCATCCTATCCACGCGTACGCTATCATGCCCTGTCCTATCACATAGTGTAGCCAGCTTTAGGGAAGGGTTACCTTTGCAGCTCAAGAGACAACCTCATATCAGAGTGTTTAGTTTCACCTTGTCCCATACAGCACAAAAGGGTATCATCTACAGTATATATTTATTATCACCACCCAGAAACACGCACACACTCGTACATATAAAAACTAAAGAAAACTCAGTACATACAATGTATAAAACGTATGAATGTGCTCAAAAATGCACAAAACCCGCTTTATTTTCATACTTCAGAAATGCTTGATATAGTCATAAGCTGTATGCATGGCTCTGACTACTACTTATCCACCCACTTCACTGGAACAGGACTCAAATTTCAGGAGAAGGAACTAGCAATAGATCCACTGGGTAGAGAACTGCTCTTCTCGTTTTGTACCACTCAGAGCGGATTAAGCCAGGCCGCAAAGGGTAACAAAAAGTTGTGTTCACAAAATTGTGAGGGGAGGGACTTTTTTTTTTTTTTTAAACAGTGTATCCTAATGCACCGTTGTGCCTTAGCAGTACACGAGAACCATATTCACACTGTCCCTCGAGGCAATAAAGATAGTCTGCAAGTGACTGAATATCGAAACATACTAGATATGATCCAGTAAGTGAGAGTCACAGTTTTCTGTGCAGAGATGTTGAATAATCAAAACTGATCCCCAAGTACAGTATGGCCTAAAGCAAGACACAAAATAGAGGGTAGCGGCATATATGAGGGAAATCAGTGGCACTGGGTAAGCACATAACTAGGTTTGGATCAGATCAGCCCAATCCTGTATCCTCTCTTTGTAACTAGCAAAATTAAAACCCCACTCCCATACAACAATTTCTTCCTGTCCCTCTAGGCTTGTACCTGTCATAAGGCAACAGAAGAACAGTCATGAGGGGCTCTCAGTAGAAAGCCCTTCTGACTAACCTGATCTGCTCTGACTGGAGACAACTGCTACAGTAAGTCAGGGTTAATCAGAGTGACATGAGTGGGGGAGGAAAGAAAACCCATGTGCGCTGAAACCTCACCTCATTTTGAAAACATGAAGTGGTATTTAGTATCCATATTATCCAAACCAGTCTGTTTTAAATCTTTGCCTAAACTGGAAACATATTATTGATTGAAATGAACCACATTTTGTAGTGCACATGTTAATTTTGCTACTTTAAATTAAGCTAAACTTAAAAGGAAGGGGGTGATTTAAAAGGTCTACTAAGGTGGAAAGAGTCAATCAACTGGAGCATTAATCAAGGAGTTAATCCTCCTCATCTTTTCACCAAAACACTATCTAGCATGCACTGTGACTCTTCTGAAGAGATGCCAGCATTACACAGACCCACAGTTGTTTCTGGGCCAGAAGTTTACCTGCCACAGTACAAGGCATTTGCAACTATAGATAACTAAGTAAAAAGGTGTTAACTGAAAACGGCAGTTTCTCTGAGCCCATTTATGAGAAAAGGCAAAGAAATCAGATGTTACGTAGATCCTTCTCATCCTCCAGTCCCTCCGATGTTTTGAAATAGTGGGGCAGTGACAGAGACCAAACACATACACACACTTTACACCATATACCTCTTCTTCTTTGGCTTGTGTTTTAGCTCCTCAGTGTTCCTGCTTCTGTAAAACACAGCCACCCAACTCCCCAAAAGTTTAGTCTTCTGTGCTTTTTCCAAGTGCAGCACTGGAGCAAGAGAGACATGAGATAACGTGGCAACTGCCCCCTCTCTTTCTTCATCGTCTGTTCCCTGGATCCAATGGTATCCAAAAAACAAGCAGCTTTTTCTCTGATGCAGATTCTCATTTCTTCTCTGCGATTAAGACATACAAAAAAAACACCCAAACAAACAAACCAAAGCTACCCATGCTTTTCCTCTCTTCAGAAGTCAAAGACAAATTCTCTGCACTTCCTTTCCATAGCCTGTGGAAAAAGGTGCAGCTTCTACAATCCATATTTACAGGACAGACCAATTAGTGAATGAATAAGAGCAGTCAAAAAAAAATAAGAGGCACAATTCTAAACTAGAACATAAAAGCAGAGTGCTCAGAAACAAAGTGGAGCTTCCTTCTGAAGTTCAACCCCTGGATTAGTGTTTGTCTGTACAGCTGTGTGCAAACAGTTGCTAAAATATTTCTGACTGGCAGTAAGCTTTCTATTCTTTTATACAATGGTATTGAGAGAACAGTGACTGTGGCGGCTGCCCGTAAGAGTTTCTGCCGGTGTATTTTCACTTAAAGGTGTGTCAGGAGGGACGAGGAAGGTGCTGCTATCAGCTGAGTCTTCCAGCTCTACTGGAGAAGGACCGACTGAAGGAGGAAGAGATTCCTCGGTGAGCTGTGGACAGACATCACTGTTTCCCAGTGACGGTTGACTGCTCTGCACTGTCTGAGGGAGAACTCCGTCTGCAAAGAGGAAAGGCAAAAAGAATCAGAAGGATGCATACCAGACTGCACCCAAATTTATTTCCCGGCTAGCTTAGCTTCTCCGCAACAACCTTGTAAGCATCATCAGTGCCACTCCTCTCTCTCTCTCTCTCTCTCTGCTTGCGAGAAACACACTGCTTAATTTAGAACTGGAGATACAACTATAGTTTACAACTTAATATACAAATGGAGCCTGATCCAAATCAAAGTAAAGCCTCAGAACTATTGAAAGATATGTTAAATAAAGCTGGATTTCAGGGAAAAGGGCCCTTTCCTAAGTTTTGCACATTAGGGTGTTCTACTTTTTTTAAGAGGCACTTTTCACCATTAACTTCCAAAACATTAAACAAGCAACACATTACAGGGATATATCAGACCAACCCAAACAAAGTTCACTGTAAGCAATAAAAGAGCATGCAGATTGGTGTTGGCTCATAGTAGCTCCAAATTTAGGGTAGAGATACAATTGCTGAATTTTAGCTTCCTGGTTGGGTATATTTTGGTTGTTGAGTTGCAGAATTCCCAAACAGCCAGAGAACAGAAAACGGATGGCAACCTCCAGAGTAGCTATATACACATGTGCAGACACCGGAGTACAATTCCAGTCTATGTTAGAATTCACTCTGTCAAAAAGCGCAAGGATGCCCAAACAAATTGGACATGTACTTCATGTGGGCTCACATAATTTGAGGGCCTTTTTAAAATATATGGAACGTAACTGAAATTTAGTTTTTTTCTTACCTGAACAGTATTTCTAATGTGTCCTTATAACAAGGTATTTAGCAATTTGCAGATTTCATTGGAATCTGACAGGCCGCACTGTGAGTGCTTCTGCTATAGCCTTGAACTTGCAACCTCTGGGCTGTCAACTGTGCATGTTGGTACCCACACCATCCCAGCCCCCATTACTAATGTGCTTAGTAGCCAAGGGCTAAAGTGACTCAGGTGGATTTATAAAAAGTGCATGTTTTCTTTCAGCTCTGGATGTGGTGCAACAGTTAGTGGCGACTTACAGGTGACCACGTACAACGCACAAAGCACGGACTGGAGTTCCTACCACATAAAGGGCTTGTACGAATGAGTGAGCTTAACACTATGCACCATCCAAAGGGCAGTCCAGCACCAAGAATGCCCCCACCCCCTGGCAGCTGGTCATGCACATCCCTCAAAGTTGTTTGTCTAGGGCTTGTTTGCTGAGCCAATTCCAGCTGCCAAAGGTGAGGTTTCCTATACAAAGCTTAGCACAGACATTTTAAAGCAGCCAAAAAGTTTGCAACATGGACACACACTAATTTAGAGACCCCCCCCAAAAAAACTTAATGCCACAAGTAATAAGGCTTTATGAAAACTCTACTACGCACAGATTGGACCCCGACACCTCTCACTGCTCCTCTCGCACAATTGCAACAAAAACACACACACCAAACAAATTCCAGTTTGAGTTCTCTCCCCTTTAAAAGCAGGCTGAGAACATTCCTCTGCAGCAGTTAAACCAGCAAATCCACAACCACATACCTGGAGTAGAACAAAGGATACTGTCTGGATTGATAGAAGCCTCATAGGGAGGAGGCGGGTCATCCGGATGCTGAAGATCTGGATATTTGTAAGCTGTGTAGGGCGGTGGAGGGTCGTGGAAATGAAATGCACCCCCTTCACCATCATCCGAGAGATGCAGTGGAGTAAGACCAGTTCCAAACCCATCTGGACCATAATCAAAGCCAGGCATCCTGCGGCCCAAATTGAAGTGGTGCACTGTTCAAGAGGACAAGACACAAGACTGGTTTTATCCCATTTTTCATCCCCTGGGTTTGCAATCATGTTGAGCTCCTCTTTCCATCCCTTAGAACTTAACATGGATTTATCACAAGTCACCAGGTCACTACTTTCAACCTTCAAACCATCCCTAGAACAACTTGTGTGCTGCAATGCCTAAGGAGTTAGTACAGAACCTACACAGCCCAAGCACATCACCTTACTGTATTTACACAGCAATGCCCAAGCCCACCCTGTGCCCATATTTTTATCCTTATCCTCACTTGTGTCATCTAGATCCTAAACCAATGTCTCCAAGGTAGGGAGCTCATCTACTTGCCTTAGAAAGTTTCCAAGCACACTGCTTGGCCTGGTACCAAGAGCTGGAATACCAGTTGTATTATCCAAATAGTGGATAATAGAAGTATATTATCAGACCAGTGTACCAAGACATGCTAGGTCTTGGTTGCACAAGCTCTCACAGCAATCAGGTGCAGTTACCTTCCAACTTGTTCACCTGTCAATTGTAAGGCATGAGTAACACAACTGACAGCAGCACAAAAATCTCTGAAAAAGATGAGAGAACCAGAGTCTTTTAAATTCACAACTGCTACACAGACAGAATAGTCATATTTAGATATAGCCAAAGACCAAGGGAGTACCTATGCAGATTTCCATTTCCACTAGTTCTCCTGGGATGGAAGATTTGGCCTTCTACCATGTAGTGACTTCCCTCTAAAGCAGGGGCGGCCAATTATTTCAGCTGGAGGACTGCTTAACAAATTTTGGTAAGCTGTTGAGAACCATAAAGGTAGCCCTGCCCCTTGGCAGGTGCTCTCCCCCTCCCCCCAGTCACCATCTTGGGACCAGAAGTCCCACCCCTAACCTTGCCACCCTCTCCTCCCCCCGAAAGTACTGCATTTGGGAAGGGGGTTTCCCCATCTTGGCACTGGAACAAAAACAAATTATATACTAAGAGTCAAACATCCACAATGCAATATTTTAATTTTATTTTTAAATATTTTTGTCCTGATTTGTGTGTTTGTCGTGTATATAGAGGAGACTGCATAACAACTCAAAATGAGGACTTATACATATATTGTGGGGGCGTGGGTAGGTGCCCAGTGCAGGCTCCGGGCAGTTGTAGCAGGGAGCATGGGCAGAGGCTGCTTTTCCCCTGCACTGAGCAACAGTTTCTGCCTGGACAGTGCTGCTGCCGCTGTTCAGTGCGAGCAGGTGAGTCTAGAGCAGATGTGGGGTGCGCAGAGCTGGGGCTGTGCAGCGCAGGTCCCCGCTGGTACCACAGGGCTGGGGCCAGCACCAGCAGCAAATAGAAGAAGCTGCCACTGCCTGGTCTGCCTAAAAAGGCAGTCCAGCTGCAGAGGCACCCCAGCCCCACTGCGAGCTCAGGGAGCAGCAGGACATGCCACAGCCAGATAGTGCCTGGACCAGGTGGGACCGAAGGACCCGCCACAGACATGACAAAGACCCTCCGGCAGCCCTATCTTGCCCACCCCTGCCCTAAAGCCAGACCACTTAGCTCCAAGTGCATCTCAACAACAGACTACTTACAATTAGCTCCAATCAAGGACTCTATGCGCTCCCTCCGTCTCTGACGCAGCCGGTGGACCATGAAGAGCAACAAAGACAAGATAAGGAAGGAGGAGATGCAGCTCACTATCAGACGCATTCCACTTGCCATTGAGTCAAACAGGCTGTTCCCATCTGTTGTGTGAAGAAAATATTAATAGGAGATTTTTTCTTTTTACTTTGACAGAGACTCTTGTGTCTTCTAGTCCTGGAGAGGCACACACTTCAAACTTATCATATAGGTATGAGTTTAAAAACAATAAATTTCATTAACTTCTACTGAATCTGGATTTCTTTATGATCTCTTCACTTGAGCAGCCAAGTACAGACTCAGGTCTTCGGAAAAGCAAAAGTTTAAAGAGCATTTCATCTGTTTGCACGTGAGCAGACAGAGCTGTGCTACAAGGGAGTAAAAGATAATACAGCAGCTAAAGGAAAGTATTAGGAATTAGAAAAGACAAATGTTATTTCCAGTTCTACCATAACCTTTATGTCCAGCTTAAGGCCACTCACCTAATCTTTATTTCCATCTGTAAATATGGAAATATATTACATACCACCTATGAGAGAACAGAGACATCCTAATCCTATTTTACATTTCTGTTTTGGTAGTGATGTTTATTACCACATGCCTCAAAAAAGTGGCTGAATATCATCATCATCTCCATTTAAAAAAAAAAAAAAAAAAAAAAAAGAGAGAATGAACACCCTCTCCCCCCCGCCCCACAAGGTGAAAGAGAGGGCCAAAAGAGTACACCCTTCCCCCCACCCAAACCAGTGTCCCCTTCCAGGGTTTGCAGCCAGCAGATCAGTACAGTTCAGAGGTCCCAATACACCAGCCACATCCCCTCATCACTACCTGGCCCACCAACTCACAAATAGCTGCAAAAGTCCCCAAGCATTTTCTTCTTCATTAGCTGCAGAGGAGCTGGGAGAATGTGCTCAGGAAAAAGCAGAAGTTGCGGGTAGTTTACATAAAAATAAAAAATGAAAATCAGCATTTGCTGAATGTACGAACACACCAGAGCACCACCCTTCATCTATGCTTTGGGTGTCCACATTTAGCTGGTTGTTCACTTATAATAAAAAAATTACAGTGTTCGAGGTCACCTTGAAATAAGCTGTTCATGTGATACTTTACATCCAAATGCTATTTAGAAAGCTGCAAACCATAAACTTCCTGTGCAAATTAGTGCCGTAGAAATTAAACTTCTGTGCTACAAAAATCTTTGGAGTTTGACGGCTTTGACCCAAAAGGAAATGTTACCATGAAACAGTATTTACCACAGACTGATCTCTCTAGCCTAGATTTCTGAACAATGCAGATACTGCCCTTGGTCCTACCTCCAAAACCTAGTAAAGCTGACTTTGAAGCCAGCTATTAACACTTGATAAAATACAGACACATTTTAAACCTTTAAAAAGGGCTTATATTTTTAAACAAGCTCAACACATACTGATCTGAACTAGATCCAGTCACTATTCATATTGGGTGCTTTTACACATGCTGGTGGGGAAGGAAAGGCTTTACAGTGGCTCCAAGAGCCACCCTAATTAAAGTGCCACATCATCTCATGCATCAGCATCCCCACACTTGAAAATGGCAATGGGGGTGACTGAAATAAAACTCGTTCAACAAGCTTTAGTTCAAGCTCCCCCGCCACCATTTTGCAGGGACACGGATCATGAGATGTGGGAGGTTGCTGGAGTGTGGCAATTGCCACGTACCAGCAGACTCAATTAATAGAGTCTGCTCTGACACTAATCACAGCACGGCAGAGCAGCCTCTGTGCTCATGTACAGGCACTCATTGAGTTTATTATAGCTGCTCTTGTTTTTATTTATTTTTTTTTAACTAAAACAAGTTGATTTAAAAGTTATGTTTTAAAAACGTGCAAGATGGGACGCGTGGATATGAAGTGCTGAACCCAGGCATACATAAAGCACTTATCACACCAGAATTTCAATGCTTTACATGCACAAGTGTTAACAGAACAAAGATATATAAACTTGGAAGTGATAATCAGCTGTCTATTCTTCCTTTGCAAGGTCTGCCATTGTATACGCTTGTTATGGTTAGGGACCTACTGAAACTGCGGCAGAAGTGTACTGCATAGCAGCTCCTTTAATTTTGCTCCTTTCACCCAGGACACCCCCTTTCCTCCCCCCACCCAACTGGTGGAAGGGCCCTGACAGCCCCCCCTGCTTGCTGTCGATCAGCCAGGAGACAAAAGTTGTGGTTTTAAATACACCACGTGTTTGCCTCCCAGCACTGATTGACCAAGGGGCCCCAGTAGCCCTGCCACTCGCTACTGCTTTGCACAGCAAAATGAGCAAGATTAAAAGGAGCCACCACGCAAGGCACTTCAACCGCAATTTTGGGAGGTGTCCAGTTATGGTTATCTAGTGAACACTTGGCAAAGAGGCTTGAAATACAACCTTACAACAAGTGCTGAACTCTTCCTGATCTCCACTCCAGAGTCCTACTGCTGCTGCTGAAAGGGCTCCCCCACGCACAAACCCTTTGCCATACTGTGCTAGATAAGACCAGCTCCTGTGGCGGGTCACAAACAGCAGCAATAACCAAGGGCCCGTCTACTAGGGGCTTTATCAGCATCTGAAACCAAGCAAGGAGCCAGCACAGACCGCATGTGGGTTCCCTGGCTCATTTTACATCAAGGAGTTTCCATGAACTTCTTGCCTAATCTCAGATAGAAGCTATTAAAACAGTGCAGCTGGAGATGGCAGATAGGTCACAATGGCTAGGTCACGGTCACAAGAACAGCCAGATTACTCGAGAGCTAAAGCTGGAAGGTATTTTTGACGACTGTTACCTGGATGTTCAACGTAAGCAATGAGTTCGTCAGGATTCCAAGACAACGCGCTGTCTTCATTAGCAGCAGGTTTATACCAGTTGAGGACCAAATATTGAGACAATATTTAAGTGTTTCCTGGATTCACCTGAAACCAGATCTTTACCCACATTTTCATGTCCTTCACAGAGGCCTCACAGTCTACACTACATAAAGTATGTGCATCTTGCTGTTCATAAAAGTTAGGGTTCATTGGACTTACTGCAATCCTGACAAAACCTTGCCACCCACCCTCTTGGCAGGTACTTTGTTTCTCAAGATGAACTGCAAGTCCCCAGCCCTTCTGATATCATGCAAAGGTACTGTATGAAAAACAGACACCATTCTGTTTTCAGACTCTGAAAACAAATCAATTCAACAACACACAGTACCACTAGACTCAGAGACCATGTATAAGAACAGCCAGAGAACAAAAGCAGCTATTATGTTATGCTAACCAGCATTTCTGACTGACCACTATTTTCATTTTTGTCACTGTATAGAAGGACTGCTCTTCGTTCCCTCACCACGCTTTTTTTTTTTTTTTTTTTTTTTTTAAGCATGCCCTGTACTTTCTGATAAAAACACCTTAGAAAATATACAAGATAGACAGAACTGTCTTATTTGGTTTGGAGTTTCATTTGCTCCAGGCTCATTATTGTCAAACCTGATCCTACAGCTTTGTGAGTACATTTGAGATCCACACAAGGCAACTACATGCCTTTCAACAGTTTCCACTTACTGCAGATTGGAAAATAAGGCAACCAAAAATACCTGGCAATTTACTCTTTGCAAAGCAAATCACTTTAATACACCATATACAGAGCTGCACATTCCCTGGTCTCCTTGCGCTAGATTTTATGGGTCAGTGATTTCACAGAGCTTCATTAGCATAGAGAAGCAAGGCTGGAAGGGAGGCAGATGAATATTTTCAGATACAAAAGTAGTCTATAACAAATGATAAGATCCACTGGAGATTTGCTAGGTGGAATTCCCCCCCTTAAAAAAAAAAAAAGCAAGCATTTTACACTTAATTTGATTCTAGGACAGCTCTTTTGTTAGTGGCATCAATGTGGCAAATAAAATGTTCTTCTACTGCTCTGCAGATGTAGCCCTGTTTGATCAAGCTAATGATATTAGGCAATAAAACCACTGTCCAACAAGGTTGTAATTGTAAAACAGATTTAGGCACAGGATTTTTTTTACTACAGATTTAAAGATTTAACCCTCTGAACCTCACCCACACCGTCAATATGCTCCTGCTTGTTTTTATAATATAGCGTATCGCAGCCAACTGGCGCACAGCAGCTTGGCTTTTCATTAAAGAGGCCAACTACAAAACCTAGATTCTCACCAATAGATTTGCTCACGTAGTAGCCAAGTGTCTCCCACTTCTTGTTTGCAAACCCCCGCAAAGTCAAACAGCTCATCAGCTCCTGCCATCCATATCCAACACCTTGCATGGAGCCCAATGCAGCTCTAGTTATCCCCTCCCTTCTTGCCCCGACTGCTCTTGTGGTTGCCTGGCAATAGCAGCACAGTAAAATTTTGCCATGCAAAAGTAAAACCCCCTTGTATAATGGAGAGCTCATGTTCTTTTTTCTCAGCCTTTGGCAGAAGGTTTCCCAATGACAGCAGACTTTGTTTCCAGGGCAGTTTGGAAAGCTGTTTCCTCCAAAGATATTAGAAAACCCTGTACCTTTGCACAGCTTTAGACAACGCCTGACTCACCACCACAATTCTAAACAATTTTGGCTCACTCAGCTTCATCACAAATAGCGGTTATCCAAGTATGTATCTCATGCACAGATTTATCTACCACCTTAAATTAGCAGTATTAACTGAATTTAATAAAAATCAGGAGAGAAAACCTACCTCCCATGCTAACTTGCTAAATACCTCAACTTCCTTTTCTGCCTCCCCCCCCCACAATTTTCAACTTTTAAAAATTAACATATACCATTTTCTCTAGTCTCTTCACAAGACAATTAGTTTTATCTAATCTTTCTAGCTTCTCTCCCCATCCACCTCTCTACTACTCATCACAACCTTCTCCCAACAGGATAAACAAAAAAATGGAATGAAAATGGGACCTGCAAAAAACCAATCATCTAAAGGTGCCCCTCTAGTCTCATCTACTGCGAAGGAACAGCAGCACAACAGCTTTCCTCTTCTTGCTCACTGATAGAGTTCCCTGGTCATTCTCGATTTAAAAAAAACAGACCGTATTCTGCTGTGCTTTCACAGATCCCTTAGACTGGCCACAGCTTCAATTCTCAGCTC